TAGCAATTAATTTACATTTCTACAGTAGTTTCTAGCTATAGCAGGCTAATAAGAATAGTTATTTTGTATTAGACTACTTCCACAGATCATAAACATAAGCTTTTATTATAAAGTGACATTATACTAAGAAGTCCAAAACATATATAAAAAGAGTTGAATTAAAATGGTGATCTCCTTTACATGCATCTCACCATGTCCTCAATTATCTGTTTTTTTTATAAATACACCCCTAATTATCGCTTACAGATTTAGATTTGTAATTGATCAGTCATTTAAACCTAAAACTACCACCTCTCACACCATTTGAATGTTAGTTATACAGTTAAAGAGATACACACCTGTTATGTAATCCAACTTTCAAGGACTTCTTGCAGGAAAATGAGTTGATTTGAGATTAATACATTTCAAATCCACCCTACCCTAATCATCTGCACCTGGTGGAAACTAAATATGAGGGGAAAGCTTTATGCACTCTATATACTCCCCTCTGAAGCAAAACTGAAGTAAAGAGTTCACGTGATGTTATGTTCAGTGATGTTTATTGAAGAATGCAATTTACTCTTACCCTTTCCGTTATTGATAACAACAAATGGCTTGGCTGTTGTGTATAACGATATAACAAAATGACATAATTTGAATATCTACACTAGACATATGCGTAAAAAAACTAATTTTATTACAAGCTCCAAATGGACATACCCAAAATATCTCTTGATACCCTGTGTTTGGGGTATGATAAAATCAAATTATATACTTCCAGGATTGATTTTAGACTCTAACCTATTTATTTACTCAAAAATTTGTAATTATTGCCCACGGTTGAAAATACGAGCATGTTGGGTGGGACGGGGATTTCTAACCCGCGACCCTCAGATTGCGACTCAAGCGCCTTAACCACCTGGCCATGCAGGGCCCAGATTGCCCTAGAAAAACTGAATAATGTGAGTTTCGCGTACTTCTGGGCACTGAGAATATTTTTTCGACGCTTTAACGTGATCTCAATTTCCCCTCCAGGCCTGTGAAGAAGTTATGAGACAATCAATAAGAATTTTTTAAAACATAAATGTTTACTAATTAATCACAATAAAGGCTTGAGTCATACTATATTATATTTTTCTGCTGGCGACATGCTACTTTTAACACCCCACCATTGTTTATTTCCTTGGTTTGATAGAAAAACTTAACATGTTATATTTGTTTGGAAAGCTATGTTCATCTTCTTTCGTTTAGATATTATTATATGTTTGTGTGTAAGGTACGTACTCAAAGAAACTTGCCCCAGAACACCGGCAACGTCAAATTGGACACTTAAGAAAACCTAGCCCTTATGCATTACAGGATCCTTTTTGAAATAGATGGCACGAATAATGTCTTCTAATATTATAATAAACTGGAGGACCCGATCCGAGCTTATTTTTCGTGCTTAAATCGAACTGACTTTGTCCTTTTTTACAGTAGATGACTTAGCCTTGGCGTCGTGATGGTTTCACGATCAAAAGGATTCTTTAAAATTACCATATTTTCAGCGAACCTAATGTAGGGCATGATAAAAAAACAATGTACCAAGCAGGCGGTACCACTGCTTATGTAGGGATGGCCCAGGTTGTTCATCGAAATTGTATTTTAAATATCTCCTCAATAGGTCATCAGAACTTTACAATACTTTACAGCGTTTCCTTTTGTAACAATATGTACGTAATGACTGAGTAACAATAATTATAATGTAAATTAAAATCATAGATAATATTCAACGTTCAACTGGTACACAATTAAAAACATTTTATTTAGGCCTATCTATGGCCTTCAAAAAGTTGACGACTGTACATGTTTCGACGTTACAACGTTTTTTACAATGTTTTTTAATTGTTTACCAGTTTAACGTTGAGTATTATTTGTGATTTTAACTTTATACACAAGTGCCAAAATACTATAATTATAGTGTAAATGTTGTGATTATTTCCCCTTGAAGTTAGTTTTCTTACAGAAATTTGATGTTACTTTTAAAAAAAGCTTAAATAACATGATGAAACAAGAATTACCAGCTAATAATAGATAAACAATAAATATTACAGTTGGAATTTCATTGTATTTAGAAGTTAGTTATTAATACAGCCTTCTTATAACTATAAAAATAGGATAAATTAAACTCAATTGTGATTGAATAGTTATATCTATTGCTGTATGTTAATTCTTGCCTGTTCTGTTATGTACGGATGGTGCAGATACTATCCCCACTATCATCTTGTTTTCTTTTTTTTTTTGAAGGGTTAATATTAGCCATCCCTACATTTACTTCCTATTTAAAAAAAAAAATGTTTTTTTCATTAGTTATAAAATACATGTATGGTGAAGAACAGGATTTAGCCACCCAACTTTAACAACTCCTTCACTAAAGGCATAACTGTAAGATTCTTACCCTATCAATAAAAGGAAATATATATATATACGTGTGTGTAATGAAAATTTTCAGTCATATTTACATGAATTGATATATTTATAATTTAATT